GGGCAGCGCCTCCCCGCCCCGGCAGGGCCGGGCGGGGCGGGGGCTCGTCCCCCGCTCCCCCGCGCACTCTCCAGCCTCGATCGTTACAAACCGCTGGGCCTCCCCATCACGCCACCCCCGCCACGGACGAGGGCCCGCAGCGTGGCGAAGGGCAGGGCCCGGCCGTGCCGCCCGGTGCCGGTGCCCTCCCTGTCCGACGGAAAGCCGGCCTCGGCAGGGGCCGCCAGCAGCCCTCCGGTCAACGGGCCGTGATCCGCGATCGGCGCCCCACGCTCGGGGCAAACCAGCTTTAATGGGCGTGTTGCTGCTTCTCCCCGGAGCCCGCAGCTCAGTTTAAACACCGGGCAGCAGCCCAGATTACTGCGACAGCTACCAGCTAACTCACCACTTACTCCCCAGACGCAGAACACGTTTCCGTATTTGTCTTGTGAATACATACTTCACAAAACAAAACACGCTGTTAGAGTTAACTGTATCCCCCTCTCCAGCTTCGACATTCTACACTTAATGCAACAAAATTAACACCCTGCAGTAGACAGGCAGTGCGGCTGCAACACTGGCGAGCACCGAGCAGGGTCAGCAAGGCTCCTTCCCAGCAGCTTTACCCTGAGGTCCCTGTTTGCTATCATGTTTGCTGTCTCTGAGATCTAGGGATGCGCTTATTTCAAAGTAGTACACGTTCGGTAAGATACCTCTTCCTGGAATTTCTTATGTCATTAAGATTTTCCTAGGACTGTCACTGATCTGATTTCTTCGTACCATGTAGAACGAAACAAAGACCCTGCGTGCGCGTGCAGGGCATGCCTGACCCAGAGGGTGTCAACCACCTCCCTGTGGCATAACTGCTTAGTTCCTTGTCCACAGTTCCCTCGTGTAATAGCACGCAGCTCGATTTACTGCTTTGCCAACTTGCCATAACCCGTAAAGCAGCACAGCGTAGACTTTTCTATTCAACACACTGATACAATCTTATTACTCCTCTTAATTGCCTTACAAAACAAGCTAGCTTCTCAAAGAGAACCCCATCAATCCATTTGTAATGATCTGCATCTACTCCAGGGGAAGGCAGTATTAATGGCAGATGAAAAAAAGAAAGAGCCACAAATCTAATGCAATTTTTTCAGAAAGCAATTTGAAATAACTTTTTTTTTCATAAACAAATACTTTTGCACTGGGCAGTGGTAAAGGTGAGCTAGAGTGGGACTGACCCCGCATCCCAGAACCAAACAACTGTCGATCATATTGGGCTGTCAGCTCTTCCACAGCACAGATTCGCTCTGAGCTGAAGCTTGCACATTTCAGTGTCGTAGAACTAATGGGACTTCAACATTACTTCGCAATAAAGAGTTTCTATCGGCTTAATTTACTCCCAGTTGGGTCTAATTTGTGTGTGTGTGTGTATCATTACTATAAATTACACTAATAGTACACTATTCCTCTCAGACACGAGTTTTGTGAGAGAAAAATTTTGTAGAAACTTTCTCTTCCCCCCTTTTAAAGTCAATTGACTTCAGCCTACCTCCTCAGGTTATCTTCCTATACCTGTGACAGAAAATAAACCAGAACAGCTATAGTAGAATAAACCATGTTGGGATTAAATACTTTATAATTACCAGCTGTGTGGATATTATTGTGGAATAACAAGAAGGGTGGTTTTTTCCAACTAAAAAGCAAACGGCCGTACAAAGTGCTATTCTGGAACAGAATGGAGATAATTTAAGTACTTTCTCCGTACTGACAAGGCTTTAGAAAGGGAAGACTCAGCACAAACTGGGTCCCTGGGAGAAGCTGGTGACTTTTTGATTTAAGATGACCAGCAATCTGTCCTGAAAAGATGCTGGTAATTTAAATACTGTAACGGTCAATGCTTGTATAAAAAGAGGGATTACAATTCAATTAGTCTATCTCCCCTGCAATACAATTTTCCAGTATATTGACTCAGTCAGATAGAGTGGACTTGCATGACCTCCTACCAGGAGGTATACTGAAGACTGCTTTGGCGTTATGCCATGAACCAAATGAAATCATGTGAGGACCTTAGGCTTTCTCCCCCTCAAGATCCTACCAAATTCCTAGCACTTTCAACACTGTCAGGCTTTCCCCTGGTAAAAATATTTCTATGTATCTATTCCTCAACACACAACCCAAAAAGAACCTATGATTTTGCCTTTTGGTGTTGCTGAAGATGAAACAATAGTTCCTTTAAAGGTGTTTCACCCTTCTTTCAAAACTACTTCAGTAAATGCACATACCACAGAGTCATTCACCAAGACGACTGATTTTTTTAAACAAGCAGGGCAGTTAGCTTAAGCAAACAGCAAAATTCAGAGCAAGCCTACTGTAAGGACATTGCTCAGCTCCTGCTTCCTCCTCCCTTATTTGGAGCTTTAAAAATGTGACTGAAAACCATCATGTTACTTGGAATAAAAATATATAGGGCAAGGTGAGACAAGGGAGCTGAGAATGAAAACTGCAGAGAGCAGCCCCGGAAGGCAGCTAACAGTGCCCAAGATGCCCGGATTAGTCACGCTTCCTGGTGACTGAGCACCCTGAGTGGTAGCAAAAACTTATCACGGAAAAATTCAGAAGTTGTTTTGTTTTCTTCTCCCCACTGTGCTGAAGGCAGTAAAGCGATACAGGCAGAAGAATCTCGGAGACTCATAGAAAGTCATAAGTTTTAGACTTTGTGTTTGGAAATACGCCTCATTAACAGCATCGTTAGCATGAGGCTGGCCAAGCCAGCGCGCTGCAGGTGCAGGGACCACGGCAACTCAGGCCAACCATTCGCATCGGGTGGGCAGATGGTCTCCTGCCTCAGGCACACGCAGGACTGGAGACCTGCGGACTCTGATGACAGACACAAGACAGTTAGTTCATTAGTAAATAAGATGTCTAAGTAACACCTTGCGGGGAATACAAATTAGAGGGCAGAAAAAAGGAGAGTCCTTCATGTCTGACCACGTCTGCAGAGTTGCAGCAACACGGGCACCTGTCAGCCCCCCACTCCATTGGACCCCTGTGAGGCTGGGACCAGCTCCATGCTGCGGAGCATGCATCCTGCCAACCAGCACATCCCGAGCCCTCAGAGACACAGGGGTACACCGAGTGCCCTCTCTGATCCGAGACACAAAGTGAGGGCCTGAGTGCTCGCTCTTTCTATGCCCAGGACATTCCCTGTATTTATTAGAACTATTAACTGAATGCTCGATATAGGTAATTACTTTTCACTGCCCTGAAGTCTCCTTACACTTTCAGCTGGATACAGAATTATTTAATTCCTGCCCCCATCTGCTCAGCAGTGGCTCTGAATTCCAAACTGACAAATTATTTTAAGATACCTTTTGTAGAAGATTTTGGAAAATTTAGGACTATAAGACTGTTAGAAATTAATATAGAATGGGTTAAGGTTATTAATGGCAACAGAGCTGCTCAACAGGTCATGAACAGCGTTTTCAGCCTGCCCCCCTGTATAGTCCCAATCCAGGACCAGATTAAAACTCAGTCAAGTTAATCAGTAGAGACAGATCAAACAAAAGATGAGAAATCAGCAAGATACAGGTGCTTAGCTGGGGAGTGATTAAAATATGTAGAACTTACAAAGATAAATATGAAATAGTTAATGGAACAACCAGAGACATTTTCTCAGAATTGTGTAGGTATGAGACTTCAAGATAAAGGGGATGAGAAGATGACTGACCCAAGACAGACTTTGAAACTCATAGGATGATGACTGGACAGAACAAGAGAAGAATTGATGAGATAAGTTGATGAATGATAACGATATGGGAACCAAGATCAACTGGAAAATTACAAAGACTTTGGACTAGGATAATGGGTGGTAAAAAGGTATATAAGACTGAGAAATTTTTGGAGGGTTGCCATTCGCTGCGGTGGTGGCCCAACTCTGAGTTGTTAATAAAGCAAACCTAGAGAAACCCATGACTGAGAATTCTTTAACCTTTATATGATTTGGGGGGGGGGGGGCACCACAAATTAAGGCAAATAAACAAAACAGTGAAAAATAGAAGTGCTTGAGAAAGTTCTTTGCAGAAAACAAAGCAAAGACCAACCAAAACCCACAAAAAAAAGTGGGGTTTGAAAATGGACAGTACTACTATAAAGATAAGATC